CAACGACAGAAACACCAGCAAGTTTGATTACCGAAATCAAACGGAGGCCCTATCTACTCGCTAAATTGCGTTTTACGTCTTAACATTCTTGGGAATCTTACTTTGCTATTCACAGCAAACACAAACGAACTTACCATTTCTCTACACGATTCTGCAATCTGTTTGTTCTGCAACGCGACTTGCAATTTCCGAACCCTGCTTGGCTTGCAATTATCGAGATCAAACCCACCCTACTTTAGGAATGGCTTCCGGTTTGAGCCTCACTTAGAAACGATAAATCGTAAAGATTGCAGGATATGCTGGGAAAAACGCACGGTTGGTTGAAGACTTTCAAACAGTGATAGGTTTGATGCCTTTTTTCCACATGAAGTGTGTGGAATTGAATTAAAAATTCAATTAAAATTCTTCATTTCAGCTCTCCTAGTAGCTGTCAATGTATTCAGAGTTCAAGTTTTAAAACATTAAGGATCACAATTCGAATTGCCTCGGACAGAATTTCGTCATCACTTGGGAAAAAGAGATTATGAACTGTTTCTTAAATAATATTTTGCTTGGGAATGTCCTCGTTATTGTTCACATACGCTCATTTCCTCTATGTGCAAGGCACTCAAAACTCTCACAACGAGCCCCTCCTGTTTCCTCCAATACCCTCTCAACATAACACTGGCGAGAGTTAACAGATATGTGAAAGTAAAGCCAAAAATCGTAAAAAGAAATTTCGTTTGAAAATCTACATGAACATATTTCCAGCTATCGCTCCTTAAACTTTTGCCAGTCTTGAGAGGTCTCATGACTCGGTCCAGGGCTTCAATCCAGACCTCCAAACTGAAGGTCAGCTTGTAAGGTTCCTTGACTTCTTTGGATGTTAACTTTTAAGCCGTATCGTGTTCCACAAATGTTGATAGCGATAATTGAGTCGAAATCTCATTTTCAGTACATTCACTATACGGTAATGGTATTGGATGCTAAGATTCCATTGTGCCGTTAAAATATCTAGAATTAGTTGTGCCTAAAAGTGGCGTTCCACCCTTTAAATTTTTTTATTGTCTTCCTCTTTATTTGGAATCCCTTCAGGTTACGTAGGAGTTTACTCAGACAATTTAGTAACCAGGAATTCTAAGTCATAAGTTATTTAATCGAGAGGATTACTCATAGTTTATTATTGCGGTTTCCTGAAACCAGTTCTTAAAATCAAATTACATTCAAAGTGATTTTGTGAGACTTCACAAAATCACTTCGTGGCCCACTTCACTCAGACAGTGAGTGGGCCACGAAAACTAAGACGGATAAATGCACCAAGACAATTAGCAAATGTCATGTATTTTGAAGCGATTTACCAGTTCAATGTATGAGACAATTGACTAAAAAAAAAGGTAATGGAAATAATTTTAACCTCCAGCTGTGGCAAGATGGTATATTTTATCAAGAATACCAGCCAAACTTAGTTTTTATCTCCTCAAACGTGATAAAGAAATGTTCAGCCAAGAGTTTTAATATTCAGCAATTATTCACAGAAATAGAATTGATCAATTGTTATGGTATATACCACCACGCAGAAACAAAAATTTAGTTTATTTCTGTAAATATGTCAGGAAATGGTCAGGAATTAAACACTTGAGGCGTGACTTTGTCTCTTCTGCTGCGCGGAGGCGAATAGTACTTGCCAGTATTTGCGCATCGTGATCACTCCGATAGCCATGAGCCATAATTTTCCAAAAATAATCATCAGTGAAATAAGCAACAAATGAAATCCGCAGGAGAGTTGAATTCATGTTAAAGGTGATGTCCATCCCTACACCCACCACTTGGTGGTTTTTGACAGGACTTTTTGAGGACTTTTCCAGATGTAAGTTTTAGGAAAAGATTCGGTAATGCAATTACGCTGCGCTCGCGCTGTGATTTTCCTCGTGTCATGCGCAATAAAGTTAGCAACACTGTATATCAGTAACATCAGTTTGTGACTCTCTGTGGTCTTGGAAAAGGCGCGATTTCAGAGAAATTCATCTCAAAAGATTTGCAATTTTTCTGTAGTTTTGTAGACAAAAAAAAAATCATTGCATACGTGGGCTCTCGATAGGAGCCTTGACATCATTGGCATATTGGTTTTTGAAGGGAGAAAGAAACTAATTTTCTAAAAGGTCGCGAATTCAGTTCCTTACGCTTTGATACTTCAAAAGTGGTACAAAATTAGTCTAGAAATTTTGTAAATCAGGCAAGAGTGCACCAGACAGTGTTGTTGAGTGCTTAGTTCATACTGTCTGCCTTTGCTAACCGCAAACAGTTCTTATATTTCTAGTTCAAGTTGGTTTCTCACCAGATTGAATGCTTAAGCATTCCTCTTTGCATTTAATAATTAAAACCGCAGTGGAAAGCTCAAGACCGTCAATAATCTATTTCAAGGAAAGGTGAAAGGTAAAATCTGAAGATCAGGTGCAAGGGGGCACACAAATTTGCTTATCGGCTCAGATCACAAGACACATTTGACAAGGAAAGATGACAATATCACCTTATCCGGAAAAAAGGGCTACGGAAACGCATTGGCTGTACTGTCAATTGATAAATAAAGAATAAATAATGAAGACAGTTGATGCAAATTAGTGATCAGGTTTACAGATTTAAGTACATTTCAATCAGGTTAGGAAAGTACTCCGTGTCTGCATGGATTTTGTCCTACTTTATTTTGTGATTGGTCTGGAATACTCGGGCCATCTTTTAAAATTTCAATCCAAACTGGGTCTCTTACATTTTCCCGCGCTTGAACTACGCTTCAGGCAGTTTGTTCCTTGTTAGTTTGAGTTCTCATTAGCTCCTGGTTACATTTCCCATTGCTCTGATTGCCCTTTGTGATACGCCAGGTGTTGTTCTTACAGCACTTAATCGAGGAGCGTCGTTGAGGAGCTACGATATTTTGAGACTGTTTTCAACAGAGTGGTAGCTTTATCGATCGTTTTTCTGGGAACAAAAACACTTAAGAGCTAATAACAGACTAAAAAAAAGCAAGAATGGTTACGGACGCGGCGACTAACCAGGGGTGAAGAACAAAAAGGCGAAACATTTCCACATAATCAAAGGTTTTTTGAATGATTTACACAGTTAAGAACACTAATTTCGTATACTTTTGCAAAACAATTTATTACAATGCATAGGTGTTAACATGTAACTATTTTAGCTGCTTGAATAATAATTACTCTTACTTTCCATAGCAGACAAGCATTTAAGCTTATTTTGTATATGTTGTGGTTCAATTTTATCCTTGGTTCAAATTTAATTTTCTTTTGTTTTGGGCATTGTAATGTATGATAATGAGTTTGAAACAAAGGAAAATAAAATTTGAACTAAGGATAAAATTGAACCACAACATATATACCAGCAGCAAGGAAATTGAGTTGTTACATAACTATTCCTATGAAAGCACTTTGTTAGAGTTTATGGTTTATAAAAAAGGACAAAAAATAAAGACTATCTAAGTCCATAGTTAACGTATCTCGTAATATTATCTTCGACCATATTTGTTTCAACTGCTAGTATGTAAAGTGGACCATTCAAAACCCCGTATGTAAAAACAAATAAAGAAACAAATTAGAGCTGTACAGGTCCACCTGCTATAAAAACTAAAGATACTGAAAATTCACTTCACAGCTTAACTCTAGACCTAACGAATACTATTCCAGAACACTTTGGTTGATAAAAATAATCCCGATTTAAGTATAAGGTCTGTACTACGGTAAATATAACTCACATATATGTCGTCCCAAATACACTCCCTGAGAAGTTGCCTTATCCTGCTTACGCTCGCTTGTTTGGAGATGGTATTTAACCCGCGAGGGTCACACTCTCCATTTGGCTATCTACCATCTCACAACAAACCAGCGCGACTGAAAGTGCTTTTAGACCGAAAGATACCACAAAATATTATACATGGGCCTTCTGGCTCAGATTCGATCCTAACGGCGCATAAATTAGGTCAAATCAATATGACTCAATCAATGAAAACTCTTGAACTGCATCATATCATGCTTCAGTAATTAACATCATGTTTTCAATAGATCACAGACTTTCTTTTACCTAGTCGTTTTACTGTTATTAGAGCGAAGTATTGTAATCAACCAAGAAAGGTATTTAAAAACAAATTCGTTTTCCAGCATCTTGTTGACAATAGAATACCCTTTTGGGAACTGGTTTCTTACGTTCATCTAATTCAAAACCAATTTATACTGGTAAAATTAAACCCTCAAATGTCTTGGAGGGAATAACATATGGTTAACCTACAAAACACCTTTCCATAAATACGTGGAACAAACTAAGTCGAGACCAAATTCGAGTCCAGGAGAGCTTTACTTTGAAATTTTCTCTAGTAACACCAAGCTGCCTTTGAAGAATGGGTTCTTTGTGTGTTGTTGCACCTTTCAATTCCCTTTTAAGTATTTCTGTTGGATTTATGAACTAAGATCTTCCGAGTATAAATTCACGAACTGTAGATAGTAGCGCGATTTTACGGCCCCTCTTTTGGAGTTTTTAAGATGTTACCTTATTTATAGTTCATTGAAGAGATCAGAACACCTCCATGACTTGAGTGACATTATAGAAAGGTTATCGCAACGTTTTCGAGGTCGTGTGAAAGTTTAAATAAAAAAACATCGAACAGAAGGGTCCCACAATTTTCACCTTTACAACGGCAACGATAATCGGGACTGATATTTTTTTGTCGAAAAACAACACTAATCAAAAATAATTTTGAACATTGAACATAGTGGAAAAGTTCCGCGCAAACAACGAGCAAAGTCTTCGTCGCTCTAATATGGCTTTGAATTTCACACGAGGAGATTCAAATCTCAACAGATTGATACAGTAGTTAACCTTCACGGATCTCACGGACCTTGCCGTGGATGATGGCACATGTGAAAGCACATCGATGCTTCGATGCTGGTTTCGAAGTTTTGAGCAACTATTTACTACTCTTGGACATACAGGCCCTGAACCACTCGATCACGCCGTCTCCCCTAATGGGAAGGACTTTTTAGTTCGCAGAGTTTCACCACGCATATCAAATCGGTGGATGAATAGCAAACAGCTTTTTCTTCATCCGGAGACACTGCCATACATACGGTGTCCAGTGGAATTCTTGCAAATCCAACCGCTTTAAACTCGATTATATCCCAGAGGAAAACCATGCCATCGATACCATAGGAAATAAGATAACGATTTTCTTTGAGAAACCGACAAAACTCGATTTTACCCAGATGGCCAAGAAGGACTCGCTTGGAGGAGTTGATGTCTAATGCATTTCGACGATAGACAAGAATTGTGTTCGCGATGCAACAGACAAGAAGTTGGTCGTCAGACGAGACAATACATTGACTGAACCAAACAGAGTGGTCCATCTTCTCTATATGGAGTGTTGTCAATAAGTGACAAGACCTTTCACTGTATTCCCAGATCTCAATCTGATACCTACCACACAACATAATCTCTTGTTTGCCAGATGAAATGCAACAACATTCAACGACCAATGCTTGTGACTTCAGACTACTCGACACCAACTTCCCCACAACGTCCCACACATCGCCACGCGTAAAGCTTTGCCAAACCCGGAAACAATAGAGGAGTGAGGCACTATCCCCTGAAAATGAAAGGGACGAAATCGTGTAACCAAATTCTTCTGTGAATACTGTGCGAGTCTCTACAAGGCTAAAATCTGTAAATGTATATAGCATTAACTTGCTTCCTTGGTGAATGGCAACAAGCTGTCCGTTTGGAGAAAGCGCACAATTCTTCACTTGTAAGCCAGACGTGTCGTGAAGAGACTGGGAAATGAAACTAGAGCCGTCTTTAGGTTCAGCGGTCTGCCAAAAGGAAACCTTTAAAAAAGAACTAACAGATAGAACTGTATTAGTTGAGCAAAAGACTGCTGCGATCGTTTTTTCCACCACAGGCAACTCTAATCGTGATGCTGAAATAAACTTGAAAGGGCTGGATAGATCCGAAAAAAGGATGGCTGTTTCTTTTGTATCGCTGCAAAACAAATAGCCACACACGTCTTGTTCTGTAAAATAAATAATTTGATTGCTGGACACACTGGTTAAAACTGTACCCGTTTCGAGGAACAAAGCGTGCAGCGAACCATTGTCGGTCAAATAGACCAGATAAAGGTCATCCTTTGTAAATGAAAAGCGTGTAAATTTTCCAATATCACGTTGCAGTGTTTCATGGTCACACGAGAGCTCTCGATTTCTTTTCCGCAAAACATTTTTGTTTCGAAGACCATCGGCCTCTAAAACCCATTTTCCTCCTGGTGAAAGGTAAATGAGAATATCTCCGTTGACTATACTCTCGTCATCGTGAAGCCCTTCTGGAAAATTCGTATAATCCTCAAACTTAATTGATCCGTATTGGAATTCTTTCACAAGGTAAGGGTGCATCTCCATCTTGTCTTTCTTCAATACTCTGAGATACGACCCCCAAACTCCCAGTTCTAGATCCAGCCATTGTTCAAGCCCTTGTTCCAGTTGTTTTTTTAGGTTTCTTGTCAACAGATGCAGCCGAAACCAGTGGTCTTCTTTCATCAGCAAATTCTCTCTACTTTTGAGCATAAGCTCTTTCTCCATCCATGTCGTCCAAAATTGCGCACCTTTGACCTCATGGTCTCTCTTTCTACTTAATTCCATCTCCATCTTATGCATAAGCTCTCCCTTCCTCTCTATTAGTTTTTTCTCCACTTCACGCTTCTCAGGAAACACTCCAGTATTAATCAGTTTCTCTTCTTCGATAAGTAAGCTCTCAAGCTCCTCCTCAGCTGTTACATTTACCTCCAGCTGTTTGAGCTCATGGGATCGGTGTTTCACCCACTCATATTCTGTACTTGTCAGCTCAGGTTCAGAAAAGAACGGCCACGTTTCCTCGCTCACGGCTTCAATTTGAAGTAGCGAAGCAATTAGATGCTCTCTCTTCCATCTACGCTCTTGGTTGAGTATTACCTTCAGCACTTGGCAATCTCTGAACTCCAGTACATCGATTTCGTGTCGTAGCTCACACCCTCGTTCAAGTAGGAAATCCAGCTTCTGTTTCAAGTTTGACTCCCCTTGATCGAGCTCCTGTCCCCGGTGTCTTTCCGACATCTGCTTTAGTTCTTTTAAACAAGCTAACTTATTCTGCAATTCACGAACACGTTCAACAGTCAACTCCTGTCGATCGATTTCAAGACCCCGGTTCCTCCCAGTCGACTTGTGCTCCAGCACGTGCTCTCGTTTACGTAAGAAATCCACCTCTACCCTTAACTTTGATTCCAAGTGCTCCACCTCCGAGCTCAATTTTCCCTCCAGCTGCGCCATACATTCTTGTATCAACACCACTTCAAGATTCAAATCCCACTTCCGGATTAGTAGGAAATCTAACTCACTCTCCAATTTATGCTTAAGCACAAGTTCACTTGTCCGCTCATACCCCATGCTCTTCAATTCTTTCTTCATCCACTGTAGCTTCATCTCCAATTCATCTTTTAGGTAATTCCCTCTATCTATACTCCACTGGTGTCTCAATAGCCATCGCTTACCTCGAAGTAACCACCGTATCTCATTCTCCTGCATTCTCTCCTCACATTTTGTTTTTTTCTCAAGCTCCTTGATTCTTCTCAATACACATTCAAGTTTAAGGTTCACTCTCTGCTTTAGCTCTTCAATCAACCCCAGAGCAATGTCTCTCTTCAGCAGATCCTCTAGTAACTCCTCCAGTTTGACGGTACGTTCTGCCTTGAGGTCCGACATCTTTGCTGGCTTTAACTCTACAGGTGGTTCCCACTCAAGTTTGAGGCTCAGACTTCCCTCCAGGTATCGAATAGCTGTCATTATGGCAATGTTACAAACTGAAAAATCAGAGAACGCTTTTTCCATTCCCCCTCCGTTTATAAAATACGACACATGACAGATGTAAGTAAATGGGTCCAGCTGAATATCCCGCGAAAACACACGTTCCAACACAGGTCTTCCAGTCTTTAGATCCAACATCTGCCTTTGGAAAATCCAAGGGTAAATCTTTATGATCTTTTTACGAACCGCTGTTAGGGACACCTCGTGGTACCCTTGGTCTGTCAGTGGATGTAATTCACAACAAAAGCCGCATCTGTTCAGCGGACTTGTTGCATTCACATGAGGCTCAACTAGGTTTGTCTTGTATGAGAGACATTTAAGCAAGCATTTAATTGGTCCCTCGACCACTAATCCATTATGAAGACTCCAAACGTCGTTTCGGCTCTCTTCAATCTCTTTCACAGCCCACAGAGCAAGTAAATTGCTAAGACAAGTATTTCCGGACCAAGGGCATGAAAGATCCTCCATGTTTCTTTTCACCACAATGGACTCTCCATCACGAGTAAGGAACCCCCACTGGTAAACTGTCGCATTCCAATTAAACTGAAAAAAATTCTCCACGCATTTTCGCCTAACAGAAAACCACTTGTCAAGCCGACCAAAAAAAATGAATTTGCTGTCACGAGAGTACTCCAAGTGAGTGATATTGTGAATGATCTTATCGCTTATCTCGAAAGGACCATCTGCTAGTTGCGCTCTATGTACATCAAAAAACAAAAGTGACCGACCTTTGGCCCCAACAACTGTCTCTTTATCATATGATGTGGCAAAACAATTCATATCAGCGATTGCAGCGTCTACTTTAGCAAAAACAGTGCATTCTAACCAAGGAACTGGCAATTTGGAAAGCAGAAGAGTTTCTTGAACAGCACTGGAGGCCGTTCGTAAACAGGAGTGCAGAAGTTGCGGGCATTCAACGAGAACAAAGATGTTTGATGAAAGTACCTTCGCAATCTCTTGAAGAAGATCTTGTTTCTTTTTGTCATCGACATCCAGGCAGCCTCTGACAAGCTTCAAATCTTGAAGCAGATGATATATCTCGATTTTTCCAGAGCGCAATCTTCTCTCTATGAAATTATAATTTGTTAAACATGTAAACAGAAGCTCCAGCCAATCTTTTCCTCCAAACTGACACAGGAAGCTAACCGCAACGCGCATCACATAGTCCTTCAACTTAACGTCAATGGACGTGCAAGGTGATGATGATTCTTGGATAATTGAAGAGAGAATTTCAACAAAAACTTCTCTAAGATACTTACCTGCCATCTTCTTACAGATCAATAGTTTGCGTGGAGCCTTTGTGTCGTTTGTCAACCAGGCTGGGACCAGATTGTGCAGGAAAGTTAACGTCTGATCAGGATTTTGTAACACCAAAAATTGTGATACAGCATCGATCACTTGTTGCCTATCATGATCTGAGTTTTCCCTGTTTAGGATGAACGAAATAACTGAGACAGGAAGCGGAGATGGAGCTACGACGACACAACCAAACAGCTTCTGGAAGATATTTTCTCCCACGTGGTCATAGACGCGGCGAAAATTCTGCAGGAAGAATTCTTCAATATCTCCCGGGAAAAGATCGTTTAAATTACTGATTTTCTTACCAGAAACAAGAGCGTCTTTCAATTCTTCCACAATGAAGTGTGCATACAAGAATAATCCGTCACATTTTTGGGACACATCGTCAACCGAAATGGTAACACAAGGGTAATTAATCCTCTTTCTCAAAAAGGTTTGGATATCTTGCTCATGCTGCTGATAAAAGTTCTGCAGGTCGCTGTTACCGGAACAAATTTTAATACAGGGTTTGTATCTCTTCAGTCTTGATTGAACAGAATCTTCAGGGCGACTGGTGACAAAGAACACAAGCCATTCGGGCAGCAGAGGGAAACGATCCTTAATAAGATCAAGAAAATCTTCCCTGGACTCGTTTTCAGTCTCATCTAAGGCGTCAATAATAACTAAAAATTTCTGATGACATGGGCCACACGTGCTTAATGGCTCATGTAACAGTTTAGTAAACAGTTCCTTAACACCGAGTTTAGAGTTACCTAACAGCATTTTTACCCCCTTCTCTCCCCCTACAATTTCTTTATACTTATCATTACAGGCGCACAATTGATGGGCAATAGTTCCAAGGAGATATCTGGGGTCGTTTCTGGTACCATCGTTGTGACGGCAAAAGTATGCTGCACCTAACTGTTCAGTCCCTCTCATTCGCTGCGCCAAGGCTCCGGCTATAACACTTTTTCCGACTCCTGGGTCGCCAAGTAGAACGTAAGCTCGAGAGTCTTTAGGATCAGTAAACCAGGCGTTAAAATCATCAAAGAACCACTGTCTCGTGTCTGGGTCGAGCCGCTTGGCAAAAAATGTGATATCAGCATCAAACACAGAAATCTCTGCAAGAAAGGCAAAAGTGAACGACGTTTTTTTTCCGAATCTAGATACTATTTTAGGCTGGGGATAATCATGTACATTGCTCGATCTTACTGCTCAATGATCATTGGTATTGTATCACTCAGTGATAGCTCTATCATTACTATTTTGATTACTAATGTTCACTATACAATCTGATGAGGGACAAAAGGAACCCACCCGTAGACACTGTGCTGTAGCATTGTTGAGATATCATATCTTCTGAACCTTTAGGACTGCAGGCCTCTGAATAGAGAAAAAAAATGATTCGATAAGTAGCATGTTTTATAATCATACGACATTCCAACTTTACAGCTTGGATTTATAATGGTAATTGAACTGAGCGAAGTGCAATTCGTATAGGTAATCAAATGATTTCGAGTGCAGTTTGGAATAAATAAGCACGAGTAAATTTTTTCAAAGACTAACAAAATTGTACGAGCCCGTAGAGAGTGCAATTTGCGGTCTTTGAAAAAATTAACAAGTGCTCATTCATTCCAAATTGTACAAGAAAAATCATGTGATTACGTATTAATAATATACATGAAAAATGTATACGAGATAGCTCATCATAATTATGCAGAACCAAAGTGCGCGCATCAAGTGCAAAAATAATTTATTCAAACTGTGCGTTATGTCAAAACAAAGATATACAATGATATTTTCACATATATAAGGCGCAAAAAACTTCAAAGTCTGGCTAAACAGTTCAAAGAACGGTTCAGTCTGTGTCCGAATCACTTTCGATGAAATGGAATCGTCGTTTCCGCGGTTTAACCATGTTTGTTTTTAATTTCGGCGTAGGATCGCTCGAGCAAAGTGTTAAACTGGGTCGGCTCGTAATTCTCGATTTCCTTAGCAGTTCCCTTCTCTAAACACCACTTTTTCTAAACCGACAACCAAAAAGCAGTGCTTTTTACAGTGTTTTCGTTGTTAGAGCTGTTTTTCAGTTGCTATATTTTTGTTGCGGTGGCAAATTAAAACCTACTTAAAACGCCGGCCATTGTTTTGCTCGCAAATTTTCAGCGTATCCAAATGTTGCGACATCCAAGGCTCGCATTTGATTTGCTATCTGTGAATTTTTTTGATTAATGACCCATCAGAATGTCTGGTTTGTTACTTCTTTGCACTGAATGAACCCTCTTCTGCAGAGAATCACCTGAAAACTGTATTTATCTTAACCAATCAGAACTGAGTAATTTTTTCATTTATCTTATTAGGGCTGAAATCATACGCTTGATTTGAAGTCACAAGTATGATTTCAGACCAGAATTACATGACACGAGGTTCAATTACCACTTTATTACATCCATTTTGAAATCGCCCAAAAACAGGACTTGGTTAGTTCAAATATTTTGTTGATGCAGTACTGAGCTGGTTTGATCCATATATCCATTTTTTTGGGAAAAAATTAGAGTTTTGGAAACAAAAGTTGCACAATTTGTAACATGATACTCTTTGTCTTTCATTTTCCTGCAATTCGATTGGTTATTTTAGACAAGCCTTGAAATCGGATTGCTTGTTTTGTTTTTAGTGTGGCCTGCACATTGGCTGGGAAAAAGATGCGATTTAAAGCAAAAAATGGTGCGATTCGTGAATAAATCGCACCAGTAGGAGCCAATCGGATTACAGGGACCACCAGTGATTTCAAAATGGGTGTAATAAATATCATAACATTATTATTGGCTGGGTGGAGGGGCTGGAGGGTTAATATTTGGCTCAAGGTTCGTTCTCCACGACCGAGAGCTAAGTACTTTTGCGTCTACCTGTCCTTAGACAGTCAATGAGCATTCTATTCCGTCACCGCACTGAGGGCTCACGTGAGATAGCATTGCGCCTGCGCGAACTCAGTGTGTTGCCGCCTGTGGAGCGAACGGACGTTTGTTTTTTCAACACGCTGAGAATTTTAGTTTTAAGCGATAATTCGCAAAAAATACCCGAGACCTCGGATAAATCTGAGCTTAAGGGCGAGAAAGACAACTTAAAAAGGAAAAGTAGTGGCTCTAGAGGCGAACACATTGAAGCAAATGTTAGAATCATCGAAAGAGGAGATGGCGCCGATGGCGCCAAAACTGACTCACATGGTTTACAAGAGCTGGCCGCTACGCTGAGACAGGGCTTCACCCAGATGTCTCAAGATTTATCCAAGACTATTGCTGAGTCGTTCAAACAGTTTCAGTCAGACTTTGAAATACAATATGTTGACAAATCTGCCGAGAATGACCACGAGGTCAGCGAAGAGCCCCCCACGAAGAAGAAAACTACGAGCTTAGAAGAAGCTGTGACAAAGCTGGCTGACTCAACCGGGGCTCAAAATATGCCTTCTAATGAAGGAAAATTTGAGGTACTTAACAGCTTGAAACAAGAGCTGAAGAAAGAGGAGACGGGCCCAAGTGTAAACACAGAGCTGGCGAATGTAGTGAATGCCATGCTCAAAGAAGGGCTGCCTGAAGAGAAACTTCAGGAAAAGTTGAACAAGTATCACAGACTAGAGAACTGTGAATTCTTGACAAAAGTACGAGTCAATCAACCAGTATGGGACCACCTTACTCCAACAGTCCGGTCCCAAGATGTTAGACTGCAAAAGGTGCAGACATCCATCTTCAAAGGAATGTGCGCGTTGACAAATATGATCGACAAACTCCTTGAGCACTTGTCTTCACTCCCAGCGGGAAACGACCTTCTTCAAAAGTCAACAAATGCACTTACATTGTTCGCTAATGCAAACAGTGAACTCAATCAAAGACGAAGGGAATTTATTAAACCGGATTTACACGAGGAATATAAACATCTTTGCTCCTCGTCGGTTCCGATCACTGACCAATTGTTCGGCAATGATCTCCCGAAACAAGTGAAAGAATTGACCGAGGTCAATCGAGTGGGAAAGAAAGTCTCCACACACAGTGGTCGATCAACGAACAAGCCTGATTATCACAGGCACAACTCTTACACACATAGCCGCGGACGCTCAGGAAACCAACATTACAGGAAGCCTTTTTTAGGCTCGTGGAAAAACGACCACAAACATCCTCCGAACTTCAAGAGGAAGAAGGAGGGGAAGTCAAAATGAATCAGACTGCTAACAACGTTGAGGTAAGAAATGTGTCAGAGCAACCTATTAAAATTACAGGTGGAAGACTGAAACAATTTACCTCTCAGTGGCAATGCATAACCTCAGATCCTTTCATACATAATAGTCTGAAAAATTATAAAATTGAGTTTGAAAATGGAGAGCCAATGCAGTTTATGCCACCAAAAGAAATAAATTTTACAAAACCAGAGCAGGAGGTCATTGACAATGAAATTGATAAACTGCTGACCAAAGGTGTGATTTCAGAAACCACACACATTGTATATTTCTACTATATTCATACGCCCTAAGAAAGATGGAGGGTTTAGATTAATTCTAAATTTGAAGAATTTGAATGAACATGTGGAGTATCAACATTTTAAGATGGATACCTTACAATCGGCAATAAGGCTTATGACTCCAAACTGTTATATGGCCTCAGTAGACCTGCGTGACGCATACTACTCAGTGCCAATTCACAAAGATGATCAAAAATATCTGAGGTTTTGCTGGAAAGGTAGATTGTTTCAGTTTACATGTCTACCAAATGGTCTGGCTTGTGCACCCCGACTCTTCACAAAAATCCTTAAGCCAGTGTATGCTACGCTGCGCCAGAAGGGTCACCTAAATGTAGGCTATATTGATGACTCTTATTTACAAGGGGAGAGCGTGGAGGACTGCCAAGCCAATATTAATGATACCTGTGACTTATTTTCAACATTGGGTTTTATCCTACATCCTGATAAGTCGGTCTTACAGCCAGTTCAAGTCCTTACATTTCTGGGATTTGTCTTGGATTCAGTTAATATGACTGTCTCCTTAACACAGGAAAAAATCCAGCGCATAAGGGAAAGATGCAAGAAAATGATGGAGCTTGTTGAGCTCCCAATCCAGGAACTAGCTAGCTTTATAGGGCTTTTAGTGTCAAGTTTTCCTGGAATCTTATATGGACCACTGTATTATAGACAACTTGAGAGGGATAAAACTACAGCCTTAAGACAAAACTATGGCAATTATAATGCTCAAATGAGATTATCCCAAGAAAGCTTTTCAGAGATAAAGTGGTGGTATGATAACATACAGACAAATAACTACCCCATATTATTGCCTAATTCAAAGGTTGATGTAATAATTTACACCGATGCATCAACTAAAGGATGGGGAGCTGTCAAAGAGACAGAGAAAATAGGGGGCAGATGGTCAGAGGAAGAAGCAAAATATCACATTAATTGTCTGGAGCTGTTAGCTGCAATTTTTGGACTTAAGGCATTTTGCAAAAATGAGCAAGGCATTCACGTTAAGATTTACTCTGATATCTCTACAACTGTGAACTATATTAATGCTATGGGAGGTGTACATTCTAGGGAATGTCACACTATTGCTAAAGATATTTGGCAGTGGTGCATAGAAAAACAAATATGGTTAACAGCTGCTCACATCCCAGGGACCAAAAATGTTGAGGCAGATCGGGAATCACGCGTTTTCTCAGACAACAAGGAATGGATGATAAGATCTGATATTTTCCAACAGATATCTGGGGGCAGCCCTTCATAGACCTCTTTGCATCCAGACTAAATCATCAGGTTCCATGCTATGTATCCTGGAAACCTGACCCAGGGGCAGCCTTTATTGATGCATTTTCTGTAACATGGGATAAACACTTGTTCTATGCTTTCCCTCCTTTCAGTTTAATTGCAAGATGCCTACAGAAAATACAAACCGATTGTGCAGAGGGATTGATGATAGTTCCAATGTGGCCAACCCAGAGTTGGTATCCCAAACTTCTTCGCATGTTAGTGGCTGCTCCAAGAGTGTTACCACAACAACGAACTGCCTTACAAATGCCGGGGATGCCACAAGAAATCCACCCCCAATTCAGGAAAATGGTTCTGATTGCATGCAGATTGTCCGGCAGTCCTATGAGACACAAGGAATTTCTCAAAAGGCAACCTCCATCATCTTACAGTCCTGGAGGAAAGGAACTACAAAGCAGTATTCATCTTACATCAAAAGATGGACTACATATTGTCATAAAAAACAGATTGATCCAGTTCCTGCCACTGTCCCCCAGGCACTAGATTTTTTAGTGGAGCTATTTGAGTCAGGCATCGGTTACAGTGGTATTAACACTGCAAGGTCTGCTCTATCCAGTGTCTTAAAGCCTGTGGACGGGATGACTTTTGGAGCACAAGAGAGTGTTAAGAGGTTCTTAAAAGGAATTTACGAAGCAAGACCCTCCAACCCAAGATATACTGAGACATGGGATGTGAGCAAGGTTCTGAACTATCTTAAGACAATCTCTATTACAGACTGCTCACTAAAGGATCTGACTTTAAAATTAGTCACTTTAATGTCATTAGTATCAGCTCAACGGGGGCAGACAATTCACTACTTGTCTTTGGAGGACATGGTTGTTTCAGAAACTTCTGTGACTTTTATTATCTCCAGGCCTATTAAACAGTCTAAGCCAGGGTCGAAACCCACTGTTGTTAAGTTTGAAGCTTACCCGGACAACCCTAACATTTGTGTTGTCACTACCTTGAAGGCATATCTTAATCGTACCTCTTCTCTACGTGGAGGTGCACAACAATTGTTTATTAGTCATTACAAGCCATTTAAACCAGTTTCCCGGGACACCATCAGTAGATGGGTCAAAGCTGTAATACAAAAGTCAGGAATTGATGTAAACCTTTTCAAGCCCCACAGTACTAGGGCTGCCGCAACATCTAAGGCTTTGTTGAAATCTGTACCATTAGAGCACATCCTATCAGTTGCAGGATGGAGCTCATCTGACACTTTTGCAAAGTTTTATAGCAAGCCTGTTATTAACACAGATAGCTTTTCTAACGTTTTGTTACAAGAGTAAAGTTAATAAACTGTTTTTGACCAATATGACTTGCTTGGTTGGTCATTACTCTATTCATGTGTGCAGTGGGCTTTGAAGTCTCACGTGAGCCCTCAGTGCGGTGACGGAATAGAATTGGAAAATTAAACGAGACTTACCTGTAAGTTGAAGTTTGATTGAAATTCTATCCGTCACCAAGCACTGAGGGATTACGTGCCCTCCCTTTTAAGGCCCTCCCATTTTGCTGGTCAGGGTTTTCTTTCCCCTGCACACATGGCAAGTGCTTTAAAAACTGAGTTCGCGCAGGCGCAATGCTATCTCACGTAATCCCTCAGTGCTTGGTGACGGATAGAATTTCAATCAAACTTCAACTTACAGGTAAGTCTCGTTTAATTTTCCAATTTTATCGTATGATCGACGCCTCGTTTCGTTCTTCTTTTAGCCCACATCTCTCAGGGCTGCACAGCTTTTTCCGTCCCTCCTGACGCCTTCGTTTTCAGCCTCATACGGGATTTTTGTTCATCGTGTTTTCATTAAAAGCACGCGCGTGACCGTACGGATCAAATGACAGTTTTATTTAATGCTAAAACATAACGTGACAGTTTGATTCAAGAGCATGGATGCTACGCCTCGATGATGAAATCACAGTGGGTACGGATACAAAGGGGTAAAGTTGGTGCACCGACGACATCCCTGTGTTCTTATTTCATAGAAAACTTTGCAAAGTTTTTGTCGCGGATAGATAAAACCAAACCATGTTCATCTGCTTTATAAGCAAGCTCATAGTCAGACGAATAACACTCTTGTTTGTTTTGACTTTACTTACCTTGATTTTCCAGTTGTAAGACTCGTTGTTCAACGCATTCGATTTTCTGTGACAGATCTCGTTTGATGGCTTCTTGCTCGACCTGCATCCGATCAAGTCTTGTTTCCATTTCCTCTAGATTTGATAAAATTTGTGCTAGTGCCAGTGAGACACGTTCTCTGTCCTCTTGCACCTCAAACGTCAGCTTTTCTACATCTGTCATCAGATCATGAACGTGTTGTTGTACCAACTTCAACAAATCAGGGTCCATGGTTGCGTTCATACAAAGAATCGTGCCTGAAATAAAAGTTAAATTAGCAGGCTGTGCTGTTTCAATTTAGAACATGGCCAAGATCTAGAAAAATTGTCATTTTTCCTTTTTCATCTATTGGAGATGAGCACGGTTAAAATTACTAGCTTTAGTGAAAAAGAAGGTTGCTAGGAACCGCCGTGTGTTGAGCATGAAGTATCCAAGACTGATGTCAATCAATTTCACCTGATTGAAACATGAATCACTACAGAACTGGTCATTGATATCACCCTATTTGCCAGAATAGCAAAGAGTGATAATTATGATATGAATTTTTTTTTGCGTTTTCTAATAAATAGTTGTATTTGAAATTTGAGATCATCGACCTCAGCGCCTAGCGAGTTCTCCTTGAACATTTTTTTACGCATTGAAAATACCATTTGGCGGCCCAAAAGTGTCCTCATTTAGTGCGCGGCCAAAACGATCATGTTACACAGTTGTGACGCAGAAAACTGTGAAGACACGTCGGCAACTATGGTGGAGAAAGGAGGTAACTGACTCTAGAGCACTGACTAAGGGAACCTTCGCTGCACTTAGTGCGAAGTAATATGTTAGGGCCACAGAAACGAACACAGCTACCCATTATTAACATTGATTTCGCCACAGAAAACAAAACACAAACGCAACGAACTTGACATTCAGTGACTAGGAGTTTGTGCCCCTGGTAGTCAACTTTCGGGTCAGTGGCACGAACGATGCACGTCCGCCAGCTGAACCACTACATCCGGTACTTCCAAATGCTACCGACAACCCTAACAATGTATATTACAAATGCCATCCATGTGATACATGCACTGGTTACATGAGTTGTCATCATATAGCAACACTTTGCTAACCATAGATATTATGTTTTGACAAACATCAGAAGAATTATCAACACCAAGTCAAGACCTTTACCCATGATAAGCACCTCTCATTCCTGGGGAAGTGTCAGTGAAAGTTCAAGGCTCTCAATCTACATCTGACTACCCACTCAAGCAAGTTTGAACCATCCATTTAGCTGTTTGCATGATTACTCACACCAATCAACTATTCATTTTACACTACATCACTAACTATTATTTTGCATACGATGGGTACTTAACACTGTGATAGTAGATTTAAACTTGATTTCTTTTTAAAATTTTTGCAAGGGTGTTAAATTATTGTGCACCTCTAAACACAAGTACACTAATAATAACAACTAAAGAAAATAAATGTAATATAAATAAAAGAAGATACCTTTGTCCTCCCAATCTTTTAGCTCTGTTAAAAGGTTGTTTGTACTGGAACCTGGAAGGCCAAGTTTCTTAACAAGCTGTTCCATAGCAGCAAAGTTTTTTTGATAATTCACAAGACTCCATTCATGGAATACACAGTGCGCCCAGGCATTCCTAGCCCCTCTTACAGCACCTGCTGCTCTTTGTACATCAACAGAGAACACTGGGACTCTGCCAAGCAGTGCAAGGACAGCTGATGCATCACAGCACTCATCAAATGCATTGAATTTAGCCATGTGATTCTCCACATACAACTTAGCAAAGTCAACATGTGACATCACTCGGCAATCAAACTTAGAAAAGTCATACCTTCCACGAGACAGTTTAGGAATTCCAGCATTACCATTGATGTTCTCATACTTCAAGGGCATTAGCCAATGCTTAAGACGCCCTGATGTGCTCTGAGCATGAATGCCGTGGCTAGTTTGAAGGTTGCCATATTCGTTTCGGATTTCTGTTTCTACAAAAGGGCGTATTTGGGAAACTAGAACTTTGCTCAGTGCAATTCCAAAGACCAACCATCGCTTCTGGTTTTCTGTAACACTGTTTAGTGTGGATCTATGAATTCAATAAATAAATAAATGGTATGTGCCAATATTTTTGCAATGGAACATCCAAGTGGTGTATGAGTGGACTTCAAGTATGCATTGTTTATTCCCAAACCTATGCTATAGGCATGTAACATAAGGGGGAGCAGAGACATAAGGAACACGGTTTTATGCTGCCATATATGCAAACATTACAGCCTTGGATAGGGTTTAGAATTTCTGAACGTGATGTCCAAACAAGGATATATTTTCAAGGCAAACCAATGGTTGAGAAACAGAGAGACCTCCTTTTAGCAGACCTCATAAAAATGGAAACGCTGCATTAAACAGACACTAGCCCAGGTCCCAAATACCGTATTTACTCGTGTGTAAGTCAAACACATGTATAAGTCGACCCCCCATTTTTCAGTTCAAAAGTCGGATTTTTCATCATTTCTAGTCCAAGAAGTAAAAAGCAGACAGATGGAACCTTCCCAAAGGATAATCTCTCATTTCTGGGAATGTATTTGTAACGAGAGCACACTCGGAGATCACGTGCACCTCAGGTGACACATGATACAGCGGTCGATGTTATCTAATCGCAAAAGGTTTAAGATCACATATATCTACATGAGAGCGCACTTAGTTTACAAATAAAGACTGTTCGTTACCTAGAAATCGTGTGTTTATGGTAGAACGAAACATGGTACCAGGAGTGTAGCCTCTTCGACACGATGCCAACTACACCACCTCAAGGTTCAGCGAGTGTTCAAGCGCCGACGCCATGTTATGGAATACAAAGCAATTTACCAATTCCGTCGCGATTGAATTTGGCAGGAAATATTTCAGAAAACTGGAAGAAGTGGAAGCAAGTGTGGGATTCGTTCGAAATCGCCTCACGTCTTAACCAGCAAGAAGATAAATACCGTGTAGCTACTTTCATTACCTGCATTGGAACCGAAGCCCCTCGAAGTCTACAATGGTCTTCCGTTCGAAAAAGAAGAAGACAAGGACGTAATGAATACAGTTCTGGAGTTGATGGAGAGGCATTGCATTGGCCAAACAAATGTCATTTACGAGCGATACTGCTTCAATAATAGAAAAAAGAAAGCGGCGAATCATTTGACACGTATCTCACAGCGCTCAAAACTCTCGCGAAAACGTGCATTTTGGTCCACTCACCGACGAATTAATTCGTGATAGGATCGTCTGTGGAATTTGTGACACGGGAACTAGGAAGAAATTACTACAAGAGCCCAAATTAAATCTTCAGAAGTGTATCGATGTATGTCGATCAGCCGAAACAACTGCATCGCAAATGAAAGTCATGAGTGGAAGAGAAGAAGTCAACGCACTCAACCACAAAGAGAAAAAAGACGGCAGAGACGCCAGTCCTAAGTTAGTTAATTGCAAAAACTGCGGCAGAAAACACGAGAGATCAAGAGATAAATGCCCAGCGTTCGGAAAAGAATGTGCGAAATGCGGCAAAACAAATCACTTCGCCAAGCTATGTAAACAGAAACTTGGTGGGCGACAACGAAGAAAAGAACGGATTCACCGAGTGCGAGACGCAAAAACTTCGCAGGATTCGAGCGATGAAGAGTACTGCTTCACGATTTCATCCGAAAATCTGGAAGAACAAAGTGTCAAAAGTGTCAGTAGTCAACCCATCAAATCGAAAATCTTCGCAACAATGGAGATCAAAGGTCATCCCGTTCGTTTTCAAGTCGACAGTGGCGCCACCTGTAATGTGATAAGCAAAAACGATTTACCGAACGAGTGCCCGATCGCGCATTCGAAACAAGTCCTCAGCATGTTTAACGGATCGAAAATGGAAACCATTGGTAAATGTCGTGTTAATCTGGTAAATCCCAAGGTTGATGAAGAATGCGAAACAGAGTTTGTTGTTGTCAATAACGACTGCACGCCACTGTTGGGTTCCAAAACGGTGCAGAAAATGAAATTAATCAAAGTGCGTTACGAGAATATCTCATTGGTACAAGAAAAGACAGAAGCAATGGGCCTAACGATGCAACAAATAGCAGCAGATTTCCATGACGTTTTCACTGGAGAAGGAAAATTTGAGAAGAAACTTCACTTAGAGTTGGACACAACCATTGAACCAGTGAAACAGCCTGTTAGAAGGATTCCAGTGGCAATGAAACCCAAGTTAAAGCAAGAGCTCACTCGTCTCAAAGAACTTGGTGTTATCAAAGCAGTTGACACTCCAACAGATTGGGTCTCAAGCTTGGTACTTGTTAAGAAGCCCAACGGCAAGCTTCGCGTGTGTATCGACCCTCAGCCACTAAATAAAGCTTTGAAACGCAGCCACTACCCTCTTCCGGTTATCGACGATCTCCTGCCGGACTTGTCAAAAGCTAAAGTCTTCAGTGTGTGTGACGTTAAAAACGGGTTTTGGCATGTCGAGTTAGATGAAGATTCAAGCTATCTAACAACGTTTGGCACTCCATTTGGTCGGTACCGGTGGCTGAAGATGCCATTTGGCATATCACCCGCACCGGAATATTTCCAACATCGTTTGGATCAAGCCATCGAAGGCCTTCCCGGTGTGCGCACAGTTGCAGACGACATCCTCATCTCGGGTGAAGGTGACACTGTGCAAGAAGCAGTGAAAGATCACGACAAAAAACTGCTAACTCTACTTGAAAGGTGCCGCGAAAAGGGAGTGAAACTGAACAAGGAGAAGTTCAAGTTGAAGATGACAGAAATCCCCTACGTTGGTCATGTGTTAACAAGAGATGGACTAAAACCAGACCCATCCAAAATAGACGCCATCAAAGGCATGAGGCGACCAACAGATGTGAAAGGTGTACAGCGGCTTGTTGGTCTAGCGAATTACCTGACGAGATTCTTAAAAAAGCTGGCAGACATTTGCGAACCTCTGCGACAGCTAACGCGCAAGGATGCAGAATGGCACTGGAGCGACGTCCATGAGAGCGCCTTTAAGAAGATCAAAGAAGCAGCTTCCCAAGCACCTGTCCTCCGATACTTTGATCCCGCCAAAGAGACTGTACTTCAATGCGACGCCTCGGACACTGGACTTGGAGCTACGCTTTTACAAAATGGTCAGCCAGTGGCATACGCATCGCGATCCCTGACAGATACAGAACGCAACTATGCGCAAATAGAAAAAGAACTGCTAGCCATAGTGTTTGGAGCCGAGAAGTTCAACCAATACACTTATGGTCGCAAAGTGATTGTTGAGAGCGACCATAAACCACTTGAAGTTATTTACCGCAAACCTCTCGTGGCCGCCCCCAAGCGTCTACAACGAATGCTACTTCGCCTGCAGAAGTATAACCTCGAAATTGGTTTCAAGCCAGGCCAGCACATGTATCTGGCAGACACACTCTCTAGAGCACCCCTTCCCAACACCACATCGCGCGATGAAGTGCTAACCATCGACAAAGAAGTTGAAGAAATACATATGGTCGAGTTTCTGCCACTCCGCAAAGCTAGCCTAGACGATATCCGTAAAGAAAGTCTACGAGACAGCACGATGCAAGCACTTCAGAAAGTCATTCGAGAAGGGTGGCCTGAGACCAAGATTGATCTCCCAAATGACGTCACGCCATACTTCAACGTTCGTGACGAGCTATCAGCGCAAGATGGAATTATCTTCAAAGGAGACAGATGTGTAGTTCCAAAATCCCTCAGACCAGAAGTCCTATCCAGAATCCACCGATCACATATTGGCGTGGAAGGATGCTTGAGACGCGCGAGAGAAAGCGTTTTCTGGCCAGGAATGAACACGGCTGTGAAGAACTTTGTCAGACAATGTGAAACTTGTCGAACCTTTGAGATCTCCCAGCAGAAGGAAACACTCCACCCACATGAGGTACCTGACCGGCCATGGTCCAAGGTTGGTGTTGATCTGTTTGAGACAAACAACCGACATTACCTCGTGACCGTAGATTACCACAGCAACTACTGGGAAGTCGATAGGTTGGAGTCCAGTACAACATCTAAAGCTGTTATTTACAAATTGAAGCAACACTTTGCAAGGCATGGCATCCCGAACACTGTGTTTTCCGACAATGGCCCACAGTTTGATTCGGACGAATTCAGGAGATTTGCTCGAGATTGGGAATTCAATCATTTAACCTCAAGTCCCGGACATTCGCAGTCCAATGGTATGGCGGAAAGCGCAGTCAAGACTGTGAAAAGGCTTATTAAGAAGGCTAACAAAGATGGAACAGATCCTTGGCTCGCGATCCTCGACCACCGAAACACACCCTCAGAAGGCATGAAAAGCAGTCCAGCACAACGACTAATGAGTCGTCGAACAAGGACCCTACTCCCAACAAGCGAGAAGCTCCTTAAACCCAAACTCGCCGAAAATGTCCAAGAAGGAAAATGGAAGACAAGAACCAAGCAGGCATTTTACTACAATAGAAACGCTCGAGATTTGCCACCACTGAAAACTGGAGACTCAGTGCGCATTCAGCCCACAAGCAACCCCAAGGCGCCCTGGAAGAAAGCCACTGTTCAGGAACAGGTGAACATGCGATCCTACAAAGTCCTCACAGAAGATGGCTCTGCCCTTAGACGAAATAGAAGGCATCTGAAAGCAACTGCAAAAGAGTCTCACACGCCAACAACCCAGATGCCCAAGCAGACAGAACTTCCCTCGCCATCTAAACACATTGAACAAGAAACTAACGCCAGTGGTCACTCCAGCTCAGAAGTAGCGAAGCCACAGGAGCCAGCGATCGAGCAGCCTGCGACTGATCTAGCATCGCAAGCTTCCAAAGGCAACCAGACTCGCAGTGGTCGAATAACGAAGCCCCGTCCTATCTGAAAGACTTTGTTCGTTAACCTGAGTCAGTGTCATGAGAGACAAAGACATTACCGGACTTGACTAGTTGATTCTTTTGGATAGTGGTTTTGATTTTTTTGTTTCTCATGTTTGTTTTGATTGTTCCGTTGTTTTCGTTTTGTTTCTTATGAAAGAAAGGATGTAACGAGAGCACACTCGGAGATCACGTGCACCTCAGGTGACACATGATACA